GGAAGCCCCACATCAGACTATCCCACAGCCTGCACCTGAGAGGTAGCAGAACCCACTTCAAATCCCTTCTCACCCTTGGAAGGGTCAGGGAACTTGAACCAGAGGTCACCCCATTGCAGGTGAGTACCCTAACCACTGTGCTATAAGTTGTGAGGGAGGTGGCCCTCCCCCTGGCCATTTTGTGTAAGCGCTGAGCACGCTTGCCAGACTGGACCCCACAGGCGAGTGAGGTGGAGGAACACCACCTATCTTCCCCCAGTATGTGACTTGCTTTTGAGCTTAGGTGTCCAGATGCCTGGCAAAGTGCTGCAGTGCACATACTCAGGTACAAAGACATAGGCACCTAGAGATTTTAGGCGCCGAATGAGTTTAGACACCAATATAGTTTAGGGGCAGCTGAGAGGGTGTTTGTGAATCCCAGTAGGGCCTGATACTGGGATTTAGCTGTCTAAAGTGACAGCTATGTGCCAATGTCCTTCATGTTCCCATGCTGCAGTATCAACACACACTGCAAAATATAACTGTGGCAAAACCAAAACAAGCAAATATTTTCTGTCTCCTTCAGGTTCTTGAACTTCCAGGTCAGCACAGGTTAAACCTTGAACTCTTCTGTGTTGTAGCAGCTCTGTCAGAGAAAGTCACACAACTTGAGTAAGTTCTTTAAACCTGAATCCATCTGAAATTATTGCTTGATTCAATGCTCTTAATTAAGTGAAGTGAACACAATCATTCATAATGACAAGATATAGCAGAAAGACTTTGCATTAATACCAGGTAAGTCCTGTAACAGCCTGTAAACGCTACCGAGAGGATCACAACTTCCAGAATGGATCTGTTCCCAAGTGACACAGAGCCAGTGTATTGTCCCCTGTTTTGTTGTATTCACACTTTTTATAATTCTGAACAGGAATTTTGAGGGTAAAAGCAGCAGCACCACTTACAATTTACAGAGTAGCTGTATTGTTAGAATTCCAGGTCCAACCCAACTCTCAGTTCAAGATTCACATCAAACTGCTTCTCCGACTTCGTCCCAAGAGTTATGATGCCTGGGACTCTATGTGCACTGTAAGTGCAACCATGGTCTTGCACCCAAGGCGTGACATGCTCGTGTAACCTGGTTACAATAAACATGGCCGGGTTGTCTCCACCCAACAGGGTTTTCACATGACCCTCTGTCATCCACACCCGGTGTTCTGCCTAAACACATTTGAACCAGTCAATTCTGGTGAAATCTAGGCAGTTGTCCTATTCTGCCTTAGCATGGGACAGATTGTCCAGGTTTGAACACGGAGCAGCACCAGCGTACCCTGGACACTCTATGCTGTGATGTCCCCTTGCACAGAGTGCTGGGAATGGGACAGTGCACTCTGGGATACGCTACTTCACAAAGCGCCCACAGTTCACCAAGTGTGTCCATGAACAAAGCCATTGTTAGGTTGCAGTGCTCTCGAAATCAGTGAAAGTTATAGAGGGTGGGCCAGTGTGCATTGGAGTCAATGGAAGGTGTTTGCATCAGATCGGGCATGGAACTGGTTGAAGATTTTTGAAATTTTTGCAAAACATTTCTGGCATTTTTTGCAAAAAAATGCTTGCTCTTTTTCTGCCAGCTTATAGAGTGGTCACATTTTTCTGAAAAATCAAAAATGAGACATGGACAATTTTCAACCAGCTCTAATTAAACTCCTAGTGTGGGGAAGAGCTGTGTGCATAGGTGCTGGAACTACGGGTGTGGAGGGTGCTGCCGCATCACCTGGTTTGAAGTGGTTTCCATCATATACAGGGTTTTCAGTTTCATTCAATGGTTGTCCACACCCCCACTATGCAAATTGTTCCAGCACCCTTGGCTGTGTGGCTGAATCTTGCCCCAAACTCATTTGAAGGCCCTATTGTGCTTGTCCTGCCTCTCGAAGGATCTGTGTTACTGACAACCATTTCTACCTAGTCAGTGGTGTTCAGTCAGAATCCATGTTGAGCTAGAAATGCCGCACCTGGAAATTTTTGACCAAAGTGATTATTAACTCCTACATACCACATACCAAAAGAACCACTGCCTCAGAGATCGTGGATTTCTGTGGGGCAATGAATGACTAAGTAACATTTAAGGAACCTGGGTTAGATGTGGTTGTTAAAATTAAGCCTCTTCAGATCCCAGGTCAGATCCTTTTTATTCCAGTAAAGTTATTGATTTCCGTTTTCTACCCCCTTTGCCACAACATATTGTTCATATTTTGCATCCTTCCGGCTCTACGGAGAGCTAACCTGTTACTATGTGTAGTTATGTATGCACCTTTTTATAGATTATAGCAAACCGCAGACTCACCAGCATGGCGCCTCCTGCTGCTCAGTCCGGGAATTAGCTCAATTCCAACTCTTGGAGCGCCCGCTGCTGGTGTCCCACCTGCCTCAGGCCCCTGTGTCCCTTCCGGACCCTTTACCTCACCAGGGGAACCCCCAACCCTCTATACCCACCTTGCCTCAGTGGCTACTGCCAGTCATCATCTAGCCCCCGTTCTCTGGGGCAGACTGCAGTCTGGAATGGCCACTCATCACTGGCAAGGGGGTTGGACCAGCTGCCTCTGCCTGGCCTATCCCTGGGCTGCACCTCTGCAGCCCCAGTACCTGCTTAGGCCTTTACCAAGGCCTCAGCCTGAGGAGTTGCCCGGCTGGAGTTCCCTAGCTCCTTTTGCCCTTCCCCAGCACTGCTCAGTTTCAGGTACCCTTGCTCCTTCAGGCAGCTAGGTCCATCTCTCTCCAAAGCTAGAGAGACACTCAGACGCAGCTCCTCCCTTAGCCCTTCTTATCAGGGCCTGCGGTGGCCTGATTAGGTGTGCCCCAGCAGTGGCCGCTTCCCCAATCAGCCTACCTTTAACCTTGTTTTCCAGGAGTGGGGTAACTGCCCTGCTACAAGATCCATTGTTGTATGCAGTGTAGTTGTAGCCATGCTGGTTTTTATAGACAGATTCTTGTTGTGGATGAGTGTGCGCGCAACACACATGTATACAAGTGTGAGTTTGCTTGTGTGGGTGTGTACTTTGAGTATTTTATGGCTTATCTTTAACGAAGGTCTAAGCTAAACTGAACCTTTAGGCACAGCCTTAGGAAGGGGTGATATGTAAGCTGCACCAGTTCAGCACAAGCCCTGGAAGCGCTACGCTTCTCAAAGTCCAGAGGCATGGTAGAAATTGTAATCTACTCTCTGATGTGACATCAACAGTAGATCAATACTGAGACTTGATGGATACAAGTGTGCTGAATCCAATCTCACACAAATACCTGTTCACGAATGGCATCATCAGTTTCAAGGTGCGTGTTGAGAGTGTAAGATATTCATTCTTGACAGTGAACCAGAACCCCAGGAGAGAAAGTTGGGCATATGTTCCTCACAAGAATCGATCACAGGAAATTTCAATGATCTGTTCGGTTTCTGCTGCTGGCAAATCCATGGCATCAGGCTTGCACTGAAAGGGGTTTCGCACCCAATCTTACTTCATCATGTCCAAGTCAGGGAAAAAGGATGCAAACTGTTCCTTCAGCTGGCTGAGATGCTCAGCCATCACCCGGGTGGGAGGCTGAATAATTTAATAGTCAGCCAGGAATTTGCAAGTCTGCTGTGGGAAGGAGCCATAGTTTGTCTTCAACAGATGATTCTTCCAGGAAACAATTTGCTTCATTAATCCTGTACTTCACTCATCTGAATGATATGGGTGTTATTTCCTTGTAGACCTGCATTCAATTCATTCAGTTTCCCAAATATGTCTGTGACATAGACAAGGTGGCATGTATTCCTTGGTCACATAGAAAATCAATTAACTCACTCTTTTTGCAGTCTATTGCATAAGAATGCTTGTCTCTCACTTCAATAAATTGTCTCAGGATTTTTCCTCTTGAAAGCCAACAAACATCAGTACAGAACAATGTCATGTCATGACTGGATCCCATTTCTTAACACAGTTTTGCAAACAGATGTGCGAAGAGGCTGAACCTTGATGTAGTTCAGAACAGAAGAGGTCTGCAGAAAAATTTCACCAACCTCTGGACTCAGAGCTTTAGGTACCAGTTTTTCCTTAGTGAATCATGCAGAGAGTCCACCCAGTAGACGGAAAAACCCAAGGCACACAGATCTGCTTTGTGGCCTGCCATAGATGGAGATCCATCTGTGCAAAATCCCATCATGCAATCACATGGTATATTTTTGTCTTGCACGTAGCCATGTAGCACATCGAACATTCTTTATGCCGTCTTATGCCTGGGAAGAGGGAGAACAGAATATCTTCGAGAACTGAACCCTCCTATGTGTATTTCACAAAAGCCAAGAAACGTGCATCACAATCCTCAGTGCTCACACCAACTGGACGAGCAAAAGCACCCATGTTTTAGAGAGGCTCCACAAGTGTTTGCCTCAGTTTCCCCACACATGTTCACCATACATGTGAGGTCACACTGTGTGGAGGCTGCCAAAACAGCCATGTCCTGTTGCAGAGTTTGTGGAGCAGGTCCAGTCATGTTCGGGGCTAAATCTGGCCTGTTAGACCTGTGAGCCATCTGCTGATGGTACAACCACATTTGGGGGTCACAAACCACAGTTTGCGAACCCCTGGCCTAAAGGACTAGCAATTTTTTTGGCAGCTCAGGATGTCGAAGACTAAGGAGTACAGGTGATGTTAAAATATTAAAAAATAGGGAATTCAGATTCTAGCTCAACCAGAATCTTAGCAGGTACTGTCTGACCAGCCCTGATTCCAAATTATTATTATTATTCTCTTATTCTAATTTTTAATGTTATGTTATTCTCTTTTTTTAAAATCTTATAATAGTTTGTTCTACAAGTGTTTTGAACATGAAAATTGGAAAATGCTATCATTTACTCTTTTAAAGTAAAACTTGACTTCATGATAGGGTTTTACTTGTATTGTTAATTTCTATTTGTATTATGAATGATTGTTTCCAATGTCTTTCTTTTTTAAAAAAAATCCTTGAACTATTTTATTTTACAGGCATTTTTCCCAATATCTTTACAGTGCCAAAGGAAGCTAATTAAAGCAATCTGCACTTTCCGAGCATCTCAGATTGCAAACAGAGCTAATTTTAATTTCCAATCAAGGATCAACAGTTGCACTACTTCTGTGTTTCCATGGAAGCCCTTGCTATTTTCAGTGAGAGTTTTTTCATGCTTTGCAGATACTCATGTTGGCTCGCTCATTAGCATTGCAAAACCTCAGCAGTGCTGTATTTAGATAGAAGAACTCAAGGAGCAACCTTTAACAAAGAAATGTCTTGCACCAGTCTCATTCCATTTGAGGTTCAGGGTATGTTCCCCTCTTAGCTTGCTGAGTGTCTTTGTAAAATCTGGAAAAGAAAAAAAAGTAAATTGTAAAACCAAGTAACAACAGCCCTTTCTGCTAAACCTTTGAATCCTTCCAGTAAATACTATTTTGGGAAATGAGGCTTAATAAACATTATGTTTTGCAAAGCTGTACATGTTTATATATATCTGTTGATATGTGTATATCAATGACTTCATTGTTTATCAATGTGGAAAACTTAACCTATCCATGTATAAATGGGAAGCAGCTGAATTTGTTTATTCCTATTCCTTTCTCACGTGTGATCCCATGGGACTCAGGTTTTCTAATATGTTAGTTACAGTTTAAGATAACTTCACAATTTACATTGTATTTGTACAGATTAGGCCTGATTCTGCCAAAGGATCAGTGACCTTCATAGGAACAGACTCAGGTTTGTTGTCATTGTCACAATTTAAAACCTGGTTGAACTCTCAAAAGTGATTCTGACTCATGTTGAATTGTCTCTCAATTCTTTCATATAAAATTTCAGTTTACAAGTAAAATAAAAATATGTTTGTTTTTCTAGCTGTCAGCCAAATAAACTCCTCCTTGGATGTGAAAGGCAAGCTGTGTTCTTTCTGGCTCATGCGTCATCTTCATTAAACCTAACCCAAGGGGAGTGGATATTGTTGTAGATAAAGAGGGAGATTTTCAAAGGCACAATGGGCAGTGATTCACCTAATTTCTGGCAACAAAATAATGACAATGAAATCCAAGGAGGTTTAGGTAACTAACTGCCCTTTGTGCTTCTGAAAATCTTCCCCAATGTGCAAGTTACATACCAACAGCACATACTTTTTGGCCAAGCTTACTGGTCATGCACAAGGAAAAGATTACACAGATTGTTTTTCAGATAGATTTTTGCTGGGTTTGCAGTTAGAAAAAATATATTTTTACTTTAATGTGAGCAGATTTGATCTTTAAGTCAGTGAGAGACAACAGACATGGAACTCTGTGGTGCCATTTTTACAGAACCACTTTTCAGAAGAGAACCATACCGTACTATATCAATAAATAAATGAATGTAAAACAAGCACCTTCTCCCTTTTTCATGTGATTCTATAGTTATCTAGCAACTGTGGATAGTAAATCATGTCTTGATTCACTTCTGGATTCCACAGTTGTTTTCCTATTGCTGCTACCCCATTAAGCATGACAGTTTATCTTTATTCACGTAGGAGGTTTGAGTTTTAATGTCTTCAGATTCCTGGTGTATTTCATGGCAAATACTTCAATAAAGATGGATAAACTTTATTTCAAGTGAAATAAAACCCATTTGCCCATTATTAAAAGCAAGCCAAACCTTGCCTTAATTTCTAAAATGTTAGGAGAGGTTTTAAAAAATATTTCTGTATGCCTTTGTATTTCTGGGGATCAGATAGAGCTGGAAACAGACGTATCAAAATATCATTGGAAAAGCTCTTCTTGTGGTAGTTCCAGATGGGATCAGAAGCAGAAATACTGGAAATCTGGCAAGCAAGTCTTATTTGCACATGATTTCCAGCCTAACTTCGCAGCATTAGGAGGTTTGGCTCATTCAGATAAGGTTTGGATAAGAGTGTGAACTTGCTGATGCCTGTCTGGACGGAAAAGCCAGATCCTTTTAGGTTACCTGTCACTAAACTGAAAGTCAAAATGCACCAAAGGCCAGCCAAAAAGTCTAGATATGGAGTTAATATGGAACAGTTAATCCACTTTAAATTCACCTGCTACTTTATTTCCGATTAATTTTCATGTGTGGATAAACTCTATATCTTCAAATTATAAAACTATTCTAAAGTATCTAAGACTGCACAGTCAGCCAGATTGCTTCACTAAGCCAAGGCTGAGCACATTTGAAAATGCCACTCTATGGGTTTATTTACATGGGAAATTATTTTGGAATAGCTAAACCTGATTAATTAATATTCTTGATTAACTTCATGTGTGAATGCTCTTATTCTGGTATCAATTTATACTGCACTTATTCTGGTATAATCCACAGTCGATTAAGATAATTTGGAAAAAAGTACTCTTATATTGGAATAATAACATCCGCACATGGAACTAATCAGGAATCATTAATCAATCAGGACTAGTAATTCCGCAATAACTCCCTATGTAGACAAGCCCATGGAGTGGGATTTTCAAAAGAGCTCAATGTTGTCCTAACTCTGCTCCCAGTGAAGTCAATGGGAATGGACCCATTACGATTAACTTCAATGGAGTTGAGGTAAGCCAACACTGAGTAACTTTGAAAATCTGGCCCATAATTCTTATTACTTGCATTATTGTGGACAGGGCTGGTAGCGTTGCCTGTTATTAATGTTGCCCAACCCTTCCCATTCTAACACCCTGTTTGCAGTTGATTATAACCTTGCCAGACTTTACCATTTGGGCTGAAAATTTATACGTCAGATATCAGCCTCAGGTTGAATTGTTTTGGAAAGTTTCAGCCAAAATAGACCAGGTGTTCCTGAGAATGAGTGAAAAATGGATTGGACATAATAAAAAATTTCTGGGGGCCTTTTCTTTAAGAAGCTCTAGCATGCCCATGTCTTGAAGCAGGGACTTGAAATTTGGCAGGGAGGTGACCTGTGTGTCAGGAATGAGCCTTTTCTTGTTCCTGTGGAAAAACACACCCAACTTTAGCCAAGTTATAAGCCTTTGAAAAATCTCAGTTCACACATGCTCAGTAGGGAACTTCTCTATTAAATTCACCAAAGATTTCATCCTCACGGAGGCCTTGGCTTCACTAGAAAGAAAGTATAGCAAATAGTATACTGGGTTTACTGGTATAGCTATAACTAGAGGAGATGCATCTTATACCAGCAGAAGAGTTCTTTTGCCATTTGGCTTATACTAGTTCCCTGAACAAAATAAACTATACCATCAAAAGAATTTTTTTTTTGCCCATATTACTGTATATACACTAGGACTTTTGCCAGCATAGCTATGATGGTTGTGGAGAGGGGAGTTCACATACCTAACCACCATAGATCTGCTGGCAAAAATGTTAAATGTAGAGCAGGCCTGGCATGCTGCATCCCCTCACGGATCCTAGGATTGGCCAGACTGCACATGTGCCATCCCCACAGAGCAACTAAACACGCTCCAGCTCAGGGATTCAGGGGCAAAGCTGGACTTTCTCTGCAACTGCTACTTCTGGGATTGGACCAGCCACTGGAACTGAGAGCAAGGAGCCTGGCTTTCCTGGGCTCTCCCATGACCCCTTGTGATGGCACTCGGGCAGCCTGGCGGAGGAATGCAGAGGACACAAGAGCTGCTGAAAGAAAGACAATGCAGCTACTGCACTGACAATGAGATTTCCCCACTCCCTGCTGCAATCACTAAGAACTAGGCTAGGGGAGGAACCTCAGATGGTGATCTTGCAGAAGTAGCTGTGAGCGGCAGGTGATGGCAGAGAAAAGCAATAGCCAATGGCCGCAGAGAAAAATAGCAGCAGCTGTGAGCCAGTTGCAGCAGTGGCAGCAGCAACAGAGACAATGAGTCTCTGAACACTGGGTCTTTGCTAACCAAGGACAGCTAACTGTGAGTTGTGTGCAGCAGAGGGAAAGGGGAGTGGCGTGTTAAAGGAACATTTGTTCATGGGACTTTCACACTTCAGGGTGGGAAACTGAGGCAAAGGACACTGCTCAGCACACTGTGTGGTCGGTGTTTGCCCACAATCACATGCTTTGAAAGTGTGGTTGTGGTGTTTTCAAATTAATGCTGGGTCCCCTTTTAATGCTGGGTCCCCCTTTTGTTGTACACAGACTCAGTGCTTCTGAGGGGAAATATTGCCTCTTAGAGGTGCCCAGGGGTGAAGTTAAGTTTTTCCAGATTAGTGGGCAGGGGCTGTTCTGTATTTTTCAGAAGAACCCCTAGATATTGAACCCAGCCCTTATTGTTGCCAGCTCCACCTGGCAGAAAGCTTACACTGTGCTAAAAGACACATTCCAATGAGCTTTTCTTTTGTTATTCTGCTACTGTACGTGAGCTATTAAATTACGTAATTGATTTGGTCATTGAAGAGAAAGGCTAATGCAATAACAAGGTAAATCCTACATTTAGTTTGTCCCCAGACCCAATTTACTGCACTGCTCTCTGAACAGCATGAAAGGCTTTAACCCTATGGAAAGTCCTGCAGATGCAACTGACCCCCTTTCAGACTGATAAGGGGAGATCTCCATGCAGAAGTTCCCCACGACACTTGGATGATCACAGAGGCAATCTGGCCCATAGCTATGAGTAACTATTAAGCCTTTCTAGTCTTTGCCACCTTGCAAAATTTAATCCAAAAATGTGCTGTTTGTTTGTCCAGTGAAATCCTGTGTTTGTAGCTGGGATGATTTGCTGCATTTTGATACGGCAGCATGGCAAACAGCTTCAGAGTTCGATGAAGTCAAAAAAAGAAGTACATTGGCCTGTCCTTCACAACATACCGTAATCAGTGTCTGCAGAGATTTTTCTCAGGTGGCTCAGTTTCCCACATTGATTGCGATCCTTGAAAAAGTGCTTGCTGCAAACAACTGTCCAGATAATGCTGCAAATTCCAGCCTAATCAAAGAAACTGCCTATTCACTTGAACAACAATCACAGGCCTGGGAGACTCCAGCCTCCAACTGCAGTCATGCCTTGGCTCATTAGTCCCATGTGCCCCTGAAACTAAACTGTGAAAGGGGAGTTTAGCTCACAATGCACTGGGCAAAATCTGAATTAAATTCCAGCGTGGAACCAAAAATAGAACACTTTGAGACCTGTTTTGTCTTGGGAAAAAATGCCTGGACCCAAAAAAAAAAATGCTTTTGGTATTATTTAATGTATTTTTCAGTCTAAAAAGCTAGAGAATTTTGGCCTCAAGGAGTGCTAGCCTGTTACCTTAGAGACTGTTTCTTTTAGAGGCAGTGGAGTGGCAGAGGGCATGCCTTTGCTGCTTACCTTGGCAACCATGAATTGCTAAACGCTGTTCCCATGAATGCAAGCCTTTCACTGCCATTAGCAGTTGCCCACAGGTATAAA